GTTGTATTTATGTGCCACGTGGTACGCCCCTATTGGAGCTCAATAGGTGGCTCGTAAGGGCTCGGGCTAATCTACCTTTGGCCGGGTAATTTAGCACCGAGTGAGGGTTATGGCTCGAGGTTAATGAGGGATATAAGGATGGTTGTTTGTGTGTATTGTAATATTTTTTATATTTTGTTGGAATTATATTATTTTTGGTTCCCACTTAGTAAGCACACACTTAACTGTTTGTACACACTACCATAAATTGGCTTTAGTTATTGGGACTTTTGAGTCTCATTATGTGATTAACAATTTTCAGGAGAAGAGCCACGAGTGACACGTGGAGGAGTCTTAGAGGCTTAGTGGCATAGATCCACTGTCTCTTTTGGGTATTTGATTTATGATTTATAATGTGTTATATTGCTAATATTAGGGCTTTTTGTTTATTGACAATTATATGAATATATAAATGTAATCATGCCTTTCAAACTATTTCTATTTTTGGTATACTTTGGATGACTGTAGTTTTAATATTTGGTTTACTCTGGATTGGTTAAAATGGCATGATTATAAGGCCAAATAACTGGCTTGTGTTGAGAATTGACTAAATTGCTTATTTTACTTGTTGGGAGTATAACGATGGACAAATGTGATTTAGCCTAATGGCACGTGGGAGGTAAAAATTTATCTAAAATGTTATATTGTGTGAGTTGAAGCCAATTATAAAATATTTTATATTGAAATTATTGATATAAAAAATATTTTGGGTGGCTGTAACCAACTATGGTTAAGTTAAATTATTTAAAAAAAAATTGGTGTGTTACAGGTCCTATTAGTCTAGTACTTACTTAGCTTTTTTTCCCTTTATTTTATAAAAGGCAATAATCCATTTCAACTTAATAAACTCAATTAAGATAGTAAAAACACTTATAATAATAATAAAATCTTAATAATTTCCAACAATCAGAAAAAAATATTTTTATTATAGTCCAAATGATTTAAATTTATAATTTTAACAAAAACAGCATTCAACAAAATTCAACAACACTACATTACAATAAAAATTTAAAAACAAACTCAATAAATCTTCATACAATCATCTCCTTAGCATCAATTATACTTCAAACATTTGTCAAAAATAAATTAATTATAATTATAATAAAAAAATTAATATGACTGGACTAGACCAAGTAGTCTGGATGCCTAATCTCTTATTCAGTCCAACCCGAAGAAATTGTCTGATCTTTTTAGCTTTTTGGGTCCTAAAGGACCAACGTCTGTACAAACTAAATAAGACTGAGACCATCTCAAATTAGACTGAACCAGACAGGATTGAAAGGCTTTTACACAGCCCTAGTTCAAAGTAACAAAATTATGCTCCCGTGTGTTGCATGAGGACATTTTAATGACAATTTTTATTAAGGTTAAATGAGAAATTTTGAAGGTCTCATTTTCTTGTTTAATTTTGACTAATTGTAACTAAAAAATTTATTGAACCTTTTTTCCGTGGAAATGAAAAAAAATGCTAAGGAAAGGAATAAAAAAAAAAGTAGTTGATTTGTCATCAGGAGTTGTTTAAATATGAATTTGGCAACTTGAAAGTGCCTAAAAGAAGGGAGCCAAAAAAGGGTATAAAAAAAATTTAGGAAAAGAACTCGGATTAACTATGAGGTCAGAAATCAAAGTACAATGACCAAATATATATATATATATATATATATATCGATCACTGAGGAAGATGTGCAAATCTAATATTTTCCATAGCCATATAATAAGCTGATTGGATCAAAATGATCAAAAGAGATTCAAGGTACAACATACATATCACTTAGGAATATCATATGTTGAGTTTTAGTCGATAGAATCGAGAATCATATTATAAAGCCATTTTAAGGTTTTTTTTTTTCTTTTTTGGTAGCCATCGTGCACACAAGCTCATGGTCATCCCAAGAAACTTGGTCTGTGCATTTTCATTATTATGAGGCTTCCAATTTGATGTATAGTCTTCTGAAGGCTGTTCCACGAGTAATGGTCATACGGTGGATGTAAATTTTATGTGACTAAAAATAAAATTATTTTATTACACGTGAATATTTAATTTTTTATTAGTTTTTTTGACAATTTTTTAATAATTTTTTAATGTGTAAATTTGATAAATTAATGGTTAGTCGAAAAAATTTAAGAAATTAATGAATACTACATGAGAAGGAATTTGGACAAGTGTGATTAAAAAACGCATTATAAAATACAAACCCACCAATACCGTAAATGGGAACAAATCGAAAGCCTCAACTGACTTAAAATAATGAAATATAAATTCAAAATAGGCAAAATAAAAAATGATTATTACTCAAAAAATCATCTCGCGTATAACACATTAAAAACCAATAAAAAAATATAATATTTTTTTGAAACAGAAACATCCACTGCGCTTGCATGGTCAGACACGGTCACTTTTGTTACAAACTTTTGAGTTCACAACAAAACATAAGGTCCAACATAAATTGCATGATCAAGTCCAAACAAAACAGGAAATTTAATGAGATTTAATAACTTTTCTCGGCTCTAAAAAGGTGCACGTCTAACCGTGCAAATTTGAATGAGGAAAAAAAAAAAGATATTCACTAACTAAATGAAAATACTTGTAAACATTATTCTCAAACTCTTGAGTTGGCTTTACGAATTTATCATTTTTATATTTTTAACTTCTGGAATCATGTTAATTCGCTCATAAACTCGAGCTAAGATAGACTCGATTAAACTCGTAAGTTGACTCTTCAAGTTTATCGTTTTTACGTTTTTGGTTTATAAAATTGTGTTAATTTACTCATAAACTCGTTGAGCAAGATAGGTATATATTATGTACAACTAGATTCGTAGAAGCAGTGGGATTTGGTTTAATAAAAAATAAAACTAAAAAAACAAGTATTAATATTAATAAAAAGAAAATAAAAATATCAAAAATAAGTTGTCATATTTTAAAATTTCTATATTGAGCATAATAATCTATAAATGTAGATAGATTTAATTTAAATGATTTAAATTAAATTATGATTATATTTTATATTTTAATTATTTAATCATGTACTTTTAAAGACTATTTATTAATAGAGATAACTCTCACGAGTTTATGATCCGAGTCTACGTTTCGAATTTATATCTCTATTACGAGTTTATTTAAACTCATGAGTTTAACAACCTTGCTTGTAGGTTACTATTATTTTTACCGTAGAATAAACACTGCATAAGATTATAATTTACAAAAGATAAGATATAGTTATATCTTATAAAAATATGTTATTATATCTTGTTATAACGGATGCATTTTGTTGCAGAGCAAAAATGAGAAAAATTAGAAACAGGCTCAATAGAGTATTAAAATGTCATATACAACAAATCGATTGATTAACCTAATATAGCTGGATAACTGACTAGTCCTTCATCGGATGGAGGCAATATAATTGTCCTTCGAAAATGATAAACCAGCTTAAAATCCGATAATTTATTCGTGAAATATAAGTCTGGGAGGTGGTCGCCCTTGTTGGACAAGCATCCCTCTATTCTACTCTCCAGTATTTTATTGTTATTATTTTAGGGAGAATGACATAGAGGTTATAAAAGAATCAATTAATTTAAGTTAGATCCCAATGTCAAATTTCAGTAATTTGCAACTCAATCTTTCAATTTTACAATTTCGTTGTGATAAATTTGTAACTTGTATTCTAAATTTTAATAGAAAAAATATTTTTTTATATTCTTCAATCATGTTAAAATTTTAAAACAAGTTGCAAACTCATCACAATGCATATGTAAAATTGAGAGATTGAGTTATAAATTTTTAGAGTTTGACACTTGAGACCTAATTTGAATTAGTTGATTCTTTTAGGACCTATTTGTCATTCTTCCTTATTTTTATTTTTTTCCAGTAAAAATCTTGGTCAAAACTAAATGTAAATGGGTAGGCGAAGCATCTAACCCAAAGCACCATACATATCCCTCATAATGGGGCCACACTAGTTTACGTTTTTAAATTTTATTAAATCATATAATTTTGGAGTTAATTTTAGACGCCCCTCCTCCACCTGGTCCAAATTTAATGTAAAAGGCTCTGCTAGCATTGCGACAATCTCTTGTCATTTTTCGTATCTCCTGTTTTGGAAGCCATGGCAGTTCACATGAGCTGATCTACTACCATCAGATTCCAAGATTACACCTGGATGGGTCATGACCCGAAAGTCTTGCCTATACATTCAATTATTATTTCTTACCCATCGTTTGTGATAACGTTCCACATACATGTAGCTTGGTGACAGCAGTGCTTATGGGGACGGACTGGTATTCTCGGTACGCGTATAATCTTCCAACATATTCTCATATCATGCAAAAGGTTGATAGGATTGCTGACATATGCTTCAATCCATTCTCTAAAGCCGTTGACGAGTTCTGTACGAGTGCAGGAATATGACTTGCATACTAATATTCAACCACAAAAAGGCTTGCTTTTTGGTTAATATTTTCCCCATCTTGGTTCAAGGAACTATTATTCAGTTATCTCGCCAGGATCGCCATCGAGAACGGGAGCAGGACGAAGGGGCTGGATAAGCTCTATCGATCACGCCAAACATCCAGCAAAACCCCGAGGAGCAGGACGGCCTTATTAACAAACCCAATACGAATCTCCTCGCTAACATCGAATGACCAGTTCTTCTACTGATCATCTACTTCGCCTCCCCTCCATTTGTCGAACTTTCTATCGCCACTTGCCTCTGCTTTATTCCACCACCATCTGTTCATGCGATCATGCTAGCCAGTGGCAACAGCAATAGACGCCAAATTAACCTCGAGTATAGTCCAATAAATTACGACATATGATGGTCAAACTGAAAGACTCAAACTGCTCTCCTAGAATACAAACTCAAAACGAACTCAAGAATCCCAGGATAAAAGCAGAGCTAACATAGAGCCCCGGCAGAAAGGCGTCAAAAAACCTATCCAGTAAACCTTGTAAACAAACCAGATTCATGCAACGCTCAAGTCCATAAATTGGAAAAGAAAATTATTATGCACAGTCAAAATGGTAAAGTGTTGAAAGAAACATTTAATAGAGCCACGTTTCGTTTGTTTTAAAAATAACAAATGCAATACAAACAACAGAGGAAACGTTTTCCCGCATCCATCTTCAACTGGAGGGCCTTAATCCATCCAATATTGAAGGCAACAAATATTCGTACACAGCTTGTTAGGCGTGAACACTGGAAATATAAGGGCTCTCCCTCACACATGCCAGGTCACTAGCCCATAGCATATTTCTGGGTCCAACTTCTAGCGGTTGACTCATACTTGTTCCTGTCTGTCTTGTACATGTGGGCAATCTCAGGAACCAAAGGATCATCAGGGTTTGGGTCCGTCAACAGGGAGCAAATAGATAGCAACACCTAACGGTGTAAGACAAATGAAGAAATTAACCAAAGATTAGTTGCAGGTAAACAGCTTAATATGAATGAAGGAATTTTTAACCTGGGGTGCAACAAAACCCCAATTACAGAAACAATATCTGCTTGTTTGCAGAAGATACATATCAGAGACCCCCCAGCATGAGTTGTTTAAAATTAATCAACATTCCAATGCTGATGCAGCTCAATCATGTATGACCGCCACAGCCTTTTTTTTTTACAGAAAAACACTGACTAGTATGTCGGGCAAGTTAATCCCTTCTGTTGTCATGAAAAATAAACTTGGTATCTGAGCAATGGATAGTTCAGATGTAGCTAATTTTAGACAACAAGACTGAGAGGAATCATCAGATCTAATTTCATAAAAGGATTGCTCTGAAAAGAAAAGGTATAATGTATTTCCAAGGAACAAAGGAACTACTTGTCATCTAAAATAATAAGTAAACCTTTGAAATAGTTAAAGCAGGGCTCCATTGTTCCTTCAATATGTCAAGACAAATGCTTCCATTGCTATTTATATTTGGGTGGAATACCTTCGTCCTGAATGCAACCTGCATGATCCATCATCACACATGTGTATGATAGATTGAAGTAGTTACATCATGATTAATGGTGGCGTGTATCACATGAAAAAATGTACACAGAAACCTTATTAAATGTTCAGAAAAAAGAATAAAACAAGATTATCAAATGTTGCCCATCTTTTGAGTAATCTACACTGGGCATTATATCCTGATTATTGGAAAAAAACCAAAATACTACAGAAAGAAAAAGCATTCAATATTGATGGATCTACCAGGAAGAGACAAATACAGAGCAAATAAGTGAATATGAAAAGTACATTATGTCGTCATGAATGCTAAACTAGCAAATAAGTGGGACACACACAGTGAAAACACAATAGTAACATGAAATAATCAGCAGCAACTGGAAAGCAAGTGAATGCATTACAAACCTTAGGTGGCTTAAAGGGATAATCTGGAGGAAAATGGATCGTAACTAGGAAAACGCCTCCAGCATAAGGACTGTCAGGAGGACCCATAATCGTTGCTTGCCAATGAAACATGTCTTCAGCAACAGGACCTGCTCAAATGACAAGGCATGAGAAATAAGAATCCGTTAAGTCTGAATATTAACACAACTAGATTGGCAAATTAGATTTTAGTACATAGGCCAGAATTATTCCATTACAGAAATAGGACATAAAATCCTCAAAGATTTTTATTACATAGCAGAAAATATAGTTGGACCCCCTTCGCAAAGATACCACAATCATAGTGCCTTGACGTGAATGGCAGAGCCAGAACCATGCTTTCATTGCAATGCTCGTTCTGGTGACAATTACCTCCCTAACCATAAGATCCAATTAAAACCAGAACACACTGTTCCAAAATTAAGATACCAATTTCACCTCAACACCATTGTCGTGGTGTGAATTTGCCGCTCAGGCATGTTTTGATCATCATATGGGGTATCAGAAGACATGACATTTAGCCCTGTTATCCTGAACCAATAACCCTCCAACGGAAAAGGACCAAACAAGATCTATCCTTCTTAATGGAAGAAGGCTCCACAATCGCAGCCAGCCAGACTAATCTTAAACGTTATCCATGCATACCAGTGCCCCAAAAAAGAGTTAACACATCAATTCCAGAATCCAGATGCTCCAGAAAGAATCACAAGAAGAAATCGAAGGGAAATGACATTCAATTAAGAAACATCAATGCTATAACCTTAGAATCCCATAACAAGGAAGAAAATAGAAAAGCACTATCACCACGTTTAAATTGAAAATGTAAAGATCAAAACAGGCACCAAAAACTATACAAAAATAGAAGCACAATCAAACCATCAACATAGGCAATTTACAAATTCAAGTGAGGAAAACATTATAATAAAGATAAAGAAGGAGAGACAGAATGCGGTACCGGCGCTACAAGATGTAGGTGGATCCTTCTGCAAATCCTTGAGTTCCTTCAAGATCCGCTTCGACGCCATGGTGAAACCTAACGAAGAGGCCGAATCATCTCAGATCAACACCAAAACACACAACGCGTAGGCATAGACATGTACAGGCATCAGAAAAACAAGGAGACAACGGGCAACACAGAAATCGCTCATACCACAGAGAAAACGGAGAGAGGTACTCGATCCGGAAGAAGAAAATAGAGTTGAAACCGAAAACTGATTGATTTGAGATAGCAAATACCTCTTGAAAATGCCTGGGCACGAGTTCGGGATGGAACCACCCCCTTTCTATGATTGAGGTGATTTATTTCCCTCTTCTCCTGTTATTATCATTGTATTACTCTCAAAGTTTTAAATTATAAGATTAAAAAAATTTTACATATTAATAAATTTTATTAAATATATTTAATAATTTTATTTTTTAAAATAAAAATATAAATTTTTAAAAATATATATTATTTAATATATTAAGAAGAGAAGTGATAAAAATTAATTATAAAAATAAAAAAATAATATTAAAATTAATATATTTAATAAAATATTAATGTATATAAAGTATATCATATTTTAAAATAAAAAAAATTTAAAAAATATGTTATAATTTGAGGTGGGGGTATTATTTATTATTATTATTATTTTTTTCATTCTCAAGTTGGGTCCTTCAGCCGAGCGTTTTCTGTACGGAATATAACACTTGCATTCCTCTAAAGCCCAAACGTGGCCGCCAAAATGGAATGGCGTCCGCAGAATGTATCTCCTTGACGACGTCGTTTTATCCCTCCGTCCAGTCGTTCACGCGCAATGCATGGGCAAGCGGTCAAGTTCGTGATTTCGCGCCTTCAGGCGCAGTTGTATTTGTCCCTGCCTTCTCCCCAAGACCCAGTCCATTGCTTTACCTTTCGTCAACGGTCTTCGGCGCTCTGCTTCAGCGCAAGACTTGAAATCAAGTTGGAAATTTTATATTTAAAATAAAAATATTACTCATTTTCATTTTTATTTAATTAATTAATACTAGTGCATGTTATTTTATTACATTTACCGAGTACCGACTTTCTTGAGTTTTAGTCAACGGAATTTTTGAGGATCACGCAGCATCTGACTCACGGCGGAAATGGAAAGCACTTTTTCCAGGCAGGGGGAGGGAGATGAGTAGCTTCCAGGCAGCACCTCTTTGAGGGTCTTCCCCTCATGTATAGTGCTCTCTCCCTCATTTTTCACCCTCTCTTTTTTAAAGTTCATATTCTTCTAATGATATGGCTACAACTTAATAGGAAATATGCATCATTAGTTTGTTGAGTAAATTTGTGATTAAGACTTTCTTTTTTATAACCATATGACATTGGATATGATTTGAGATTATCTCACTGCAGTAGGAGAGACTAGAGGGCTACTCCAATATAATATATGTTTATTCATACAGTAAAATCCTCAATTTTGTACCAGGAATATTGGGTCTCTTATTGTTCGATCGAACTGTCTTTGGTGTAATTATAACTTTTTTTTAATATAAAATAAGTATTTTCTTTCCTTTTTTTTTGAATCGATAAAATCAATAATTTCAAAAATCAATATTAGCAACAGAAATATTGTTACTTGTTTTTTTGGCCAAAAGAAATATTGTTACTTTATTAGTCATTGATATAATTTTTTTTTACAAATCAATTTAATTTTAGATTTTGTGTCGTTTAAGAAACTTTTAAATTTTCACGTAATATCTGTATAATTTTTTTTGGTAAAGTTGCTTCGCATTTCTCCCCTCTAGCAGTCTGTTATATTTGGTGACATTATTTGTATAATCATGCATTGCTTTTATTTAATAAACTGGAAATTATTATCGCTTAAGCAAAACTTTCGTAACTCATGGTCAAAATGACAATGGTATAATTGTATAGGCCACAAACTTTCCAGCTAAGAGTTTTAATAGAACATATTAATTTTTTACTAATTCAAGTGAGAGCTTGTTTAGTTTGGCTAAATTGTCTGAGATGGCACATGTATCCATGAATTTAAAAGTCCTGCTGCAAGTATGAAGAGTCTTTCTTGGCCTTTCGGGTTCGCCTTTTATTTTTTTGCCTGTTCCTTTTCGTTTTGGCTTAAATCTCCTGTCAAACAATCACAAGCTACGTCGGTATTTACATGGATTAATAAATCAGAGAGTGTAATAAATCTTTAATCGAGAATAACAGTTGATGTGAAATGGATAATCCTGCTATGACCGTGGAGCCCAAACTTTACAAGTATAACAATTAACAACTAGATCTAGACTCCAAGCTAAATAATGCATGGTCCATGCAGGGACCAACTTGACTTTGACATCACCTAAACTTAGGTTGGTAGATGAACTACTCACAACCAAATATTTCTTCAACTGCAGAAAGATACTAGACGACAGAGAAACACATAATCTCTTCTGTAAAAGAATAAAGTCGGAATCGAAGGAATAATTAATTCTAAGCATCTACAGAGAAAGAAGGTACGTCAGTTGCTTGTGGTGTTGGGGTAGAAGCTGCTGATCTAGATTCAGACCAAAGCTGATTCTCAGAACCTGGCCGTCGAATTTCCTCCATCATTCTCAAAACATCTGGCATTTTTGGCCGCTGCTCTGGTACCCTTGCAACACATGCCATCGCAAGTTGCAACATTTGTACCATCTTTTCCTCTGTACTTGGAAATCTCAGCAACTGTGCATCAAATACCTCTGCTGTCCATTCCTCTCTGACCACAGAATTCACCCATCTAACCAGGTGGATGGCCTCTTCACTTCCTGTGGCATGCATGGGGCACTTTCCAGTCAGAAGCTCCAACAGCAACACCCCAAAACTGTAGACATCAGATGCGTGGCTGGCTTTTCTGAGGTCTGTTACTTCTGGAGCACGGTACCCAGCACTTCTTAGAGACGGTGGCATTATTGTGCCCATCAGTGTTGCCAAACCAATATCCGATATACAACCATATCCGTCCGAGTTGAGGAAGATGTTCGAGGCTTTTATGTTTCCATGGACAAGTCTTCCTCCTTGTTGGGCATGGACGTGAGCAAGGCCTCTTGCTGCACCTATTGCAATCCCCAGCCTGCTATTCCAATCCAAAGAAATCCTTTCTTCCCCTCTTTTACCTGCATAATAGAGATGCATTTGTACCATTGCCAACTTCTTAAACACGAGTTTCTAAACAATGAGATCATTAATGGAGAGTGGAATTTTAGATTCTTTGCAGGTTGTTGATATCTGAATATCTTTATACTTGTTTCAGATGAAATCTAAGTTTATATGATGATGTGTTCAATTAAACTGTACGCAGTGACAGAGAGGCTAAAATACTGTGGAATTGCGAAGGTCTATTACTTCCTCTGAATTTCTTGTTCAGTGAATTGCATATAAAATGGGGAAAATCTGATCTTTTGTTTTAATTTTTATCAGATTCTCCATATATGATAAAACAGAAACTAAAAAACAGAATATACGGACATCGAAATCTACAACAATAGTTAAATAAGAAATAAAAATATGTCTATGGACTGGGCTCATCATGGCAATCTTCAACAAAAACAATGATGAATCATAGACCATGGAAGAAGAATCAAGGGAGGAACTGGAGATAAATATAACGAAGAGTTGTTTTCCAGAGAGGTAAAAAGGTTAAACATACCATGCAACATAGCAGAAACGCTACTTTGTTCATAGTAATCATAGATCATGAGTTTCTCCTCCTTGGAATAGTAATATGCCCTTAGAGCAGCCACATTGTCGTGCCTAATCCTCCCCACAACCTCCATCTGCTGCTCAAACTCACGTTTTCCGATTATGACTTCCTTCAATCTCTTCACCACCACAACAGCAGAGTCCTCTATATTTGCCTTATATGTTGTACCATAGGTCCCCTTACCAAGCACCTCAGCAGATGCTCTCAGCAGATCCTCCAGGTCAAACGCAAAATTGCAATCCTCAAAGAACTCAATCTTGTTTTTTCTGCAATGACTCTGAGAGATATCCTTCTTCAGAAACCTGTCTTTTTTCTGGGATTTAAGTGCTAGCCCATTTTCACCTCCTCCATCGCAGTAGCACAAAAGCAAGAAAGCTGCAATCAATGCAAATGCTAGCCCGCTGCCACCTAGAATGACACCTAATAATGCAGACTTACCAAATCTTTTTGAGGTTTTCTTTCTTGGTCGAGCATTTGCCAATGTAAGATTGTTCCCAGAAAACGCCCTACTTGGGAATCTCAGAAGGGATTTGGGCACCATCCCACTGAGGTTATTGTTGGCCAGATTCAGCTCTAGAAGGGTAGGAATATTGATATCAGGAATTTCACCCGAAAGAGAGTTATTTGCCAGGACTAGAGATGTGAGATGAATCAAATTCGAAATTGATGGAGGAATGCTCCCATTAAAAAAATTGTTGGATAAATCAGCAACTGCCAAATTCTTCCAGACCGAGAAATCTGATGGCAATGGGCCAGAAAAGTCGTTGAATTGAATGTAAAGATAGGTTAAATTCTTGAGCTCAGAGAAGCCAGAAGGAAAAGGACCCGTTATGCTATTGGATGTTAGATTTACGGTCTCAAGTGCTGAGAGGCGACTTAGGGTGTTCGTTGGGATTGGACCGCTCAATCCAACTGCAGATAAATAAAGGGCTATGACTCTGGAATGGTCTCTATTGCAGGTGATTCCTCTCCAGCTATTGCATACAGAAGAGTTTTCATCCCACCTCAGAGCAAGCGAGTGGTTTATGTTGTGGAGGAAGTCAAGCAACGCTTGTTTATCTTCCACGGGCTCGGCTCTAGCACGAAAGAACACTGCTCCGATCGTGAAGGCTGTTGAGAACATGAACAACCATTCTGGTCTGTTTCCCATTATCTCCCGGAGGTATTGATCGATTCAACAGTAAAGTAAGCTCGTGAGAAAGCAGATGGCCTGAAGTTTAAGCAAAAGTATTCAATCAAAGTATAGAATTGAATCAGAGATAATTAAACGTCACTCGTGAAGCTTCTTTGAGTGTGCAGTATGTTTGTTACTTTATACCCTGATCTTATTATATGAGATTGCGACATAAAATTATAAGCTCTATGTGTTGGGTCAAAATAAGCAACTCATGTTTGAATTTGATATTAACTTTATGCTAACTTCTTCTTCTTGTTTTTTTTTTTTTTTGTGGGTGCTGTTCACCAACTCTGTTTGGCTGCCAGGCGACTGCAACAGAAAAAGATGCAAACCAAACTTTGAAACTAGAACTTCATCTAGCAGCCAATAATCAAGTGACAGAAAGAAAATTAGATCCGTTTTGTGGAAATAAATGAGAAATGTACAAAAGAAGAACATAGAAGTGGAAACCTTCGACTTGTTTTCTCTTTCATTCGTTCAAGAGACGACTAACAACAAAAGAGAGCATAAAGCAGAGTAGCGCAATGCTTAATAGTTAATATCACTGGGATGAAAATGGATTACTCGCTCATGGATTCCAAACAGGCAAACTAGTTAAGGATCCATAGGCAGAAGGCAATGCCCCTCCAAAGCACAGCATGAGTTGACGAGAAGAACGAGTAAAAGAAAGAACACCGTTCAGTGGGGGCCCACTTCAGACGGATCAAAGAGATAGGGTCCATCTGATTCGGGGAGGATTTCAATCATGAAGTATATTTGGTCTGACCGTTTGGTGGTGATAGAAGGTGAGTTTGGTATCTGCTTGCTGAAATAGCAGCATCACGTCCGACATTATTATTTTATGCCGCAAGAACAAGAAGAGGCATGTGGAGGAGACCATTAGAGTAGTGAGACAAAGACGAAGAGGATTCATAAACCTAGAATAATACTAAGGCAGAACTACCGGCCTAACTATTGATGCTGTAGGATCTATAGATGCTGCTATTCCTTTTCGGTTCTAATTTCTTGATTATAGGAATGTAAGTGGGGAATGAGTTGGGAGGGAAAAATAAAGCAACCGCAGATTGCGGAATGAGACAGAACAAGGAGTGAGCTCGTGAGCTTTGTCTGGAGTTTCGTTCGTGTGCGCAATTATACAAGGTCGTTTTGATGGGAACAGGACGACACTTTCAGTCAAAAATTATTGACTTACTGCGATAACAGAAAAAATTGATTTTTTTAAGCTAAAATCAATTTTTTAAGGACAGTTATCCAAACAGCAATATTATTGTGTAATCAATTGTCAGCCAAAAAATCAATTTTTGATATAATCTTTCTGAGATAGCTTCTCAAGGTAAAAAAATTAATTTTTTATATAAGTATACTGTTACAATATTAATATAATTTAAAATTTTATAATTAATTAAATATATAATTTAAATAATATATTTTATTTCTTAAATAAAATTTAAAAAATTTAATAATATTATATGCAAATTTATCAATAATTTTATTTTAAAAGGTAATATCTTTTATGATGATTTATATAGTTAAAATTGATTCTAACTAAATTATTTAAACATCTTTAATTCTATTAAAATTAATTTTAGAAAAACAGTATCCAAATAGATTACGTTATATTATAATCAAAAGAAAAGATAACTTTTGATCCATGTACTTTGCTTATATTTTGTTATAAGTTTCTATACTTTTTTTTATATTCTAAATCCCTACACTTTTATTTTCAGTGTTTTATGTTCATTTTAAGATTCCTATACTTTGTTCATTTTGATCATTTAAGAATTTAAAATATTAAAAAATGAAACTACAGGAATCCAGAATATTAAAAAAAAGTATAAAAATTTATAACAAAACACAAACAAAGTGTAAGGATTAAAAATTATATTTCTCTATAATCAATTATGATTAAAGTCACTCATATTAATTAATTATTTTTATAATTAATTATACTCAATTAAAATTCAAATGAAAACTTAAAATAAAGCATTTGTTAAAATGTCGAATGGGAATTGCATCTTGAGTAACATTGTCTACACACAGGTTCCCCCGTTGCTTTTGTCATGGAGTGAAAAGGAAGCACATATATCCCCACAAGCGCAAGTCTCTCGTGATTGTCAGCTAGCTTCCAGCAATGAAATGTGTTAGAAAAATAACAGTTGTAGACAAACGAGTTGACTTTAAATTCGATTTTGAAAGCCACCGAAAGAAGGGCTTAAATCGTCAGCTTGCTCCGCCATGGACAAATCAGCAGTAAGAACTTTGTAACTTCGTTTTCGACAAACTGCCCCGTTGATCTCAGTTTTCTCTAGTGGGATTAAAAAAACGAACAAAAAGCTAGAGTCAAACTATGAAAAAACTTACCCACGATTTTCATTTTAAATTGGATAAAAATATATTTTTATCATTGGAAAATGTTTCAAGAAACACTCAACATCCTAATATTTTTATTGAAATAATTTTGTCCTTAGACTTAGTAAAATAGAATATTTTTATCATTTTCATCAATTTTTTTAATAGTCAACATTTGAGGTTAACGTGAAAAGTCTGGCAGAAAAAAAAATACTTCATTTTATTAATTTTAAAAGTAAAATTGTTCTAATAAAAATGTTAGAGTTTTAGATATTCATTAAAAAATACTTTAAAAATAAAAATGTCTCTTAATTATTTTCAATTTGTTGCTGTCATCATGTTGTTGTTCAGAATGGATTACCTTTGTGGGTGCGGTTGAAATGAATGTAGAAAAAAATGTTACCCTTGTTTATCTCAGATTGAATAATACAGATTGAATAATATAAAATATTTTGGCAGAGAAAAAATTGAATATAAATATTGAAGAAGTTCGCAACTGTTGTTTTTTCTAATGACCATAGATTAACAATGGGAGAATAACATTAAAGTACCAAACTAATGAATTTAGCCAATAAATTTGTGATAGTTAAGCTCTCAATAAAAAAATTTAAAAAAAATTATAAGTATTAATTTAAATAGTCATAAGTTCAAGAATTTTAATTATAATAATATATTTAAACTTTAAATATAGCTTTCATTTTATAGTTAGAATTTCAGTTTGTAAATGTTTAAATCAATATTTGTAACTTATTTTTTTGAAAAATTCATCCCAAAGTTAACTATCATGAACTTCAAATTTTGAAAATTTATTATCATTTTTTCATAAACAATCTAACCCACTCCCTTCCTCCAAAATTCAAAATTATGCCTAACAGCCGGAACGAATAAAAAAAGGAGAACAGCAAGATATAGTATTATCAAGATAACCACCGCCACACATTAGCTACGCACGAAATGAAACCCTCGGTAGACCACCGCCACTACCACCATCATCACGTTGGTAGCATTGGTAGACCATTATTTTAAGGGAAGTTTACAGGTCAGGAAGATATTAATAAGACGTTGTTTTAAATTTTAATTTATTTTGAATGTTTTTACAGTCAGATTTTCAAATCGAACAAAGGAGTATATCTAAAGTCTTTAAGTTGAGAATTTTTGGTATAAAATATTTCAAATTAATTATAAGATTTAAAGCCGTGCGGTGGTGAGAAAATTTCTAGATCATGATATAAACTAATTAAGTTTCTTGGATTAACATGTGCAGGTACAGGACCACCAGCTCTAAGGTCAAAGAATAACTTGAATGGATAAATTAATTCAGGGTGTATGAAGTTATTGGAATACAATGATAAAAGCTGAGGAATAGTGGCTGAGTAGCCAACAGACGTCAAACCACGGCTCTAAATATAGTTCTACCATTATTTTCAATTATAAAATATTTTTAAATAAAATCTCACATAATAATAAAATTTATTAAATATACTTTATAATTTTATATTTGTAAGATAAAAATATAAATTTTTAAAAATTTCTTTCATTTAATACTTTATTAATAAAATAATATTAAAGAGAGAGAACGTATGAAAAGGATAATCTTAAAAGGCATTATTAATAAAATTTTATTTTTATTAAAATATATTATATTTTAAAATATAATTTTTTTTTAAATTTTATAATTTAAGATGGAAGGAGTATATTATACTTGCATCCGGCTGCCAGAATTGTAACTGACCACGACTTGCCAAAATAGGTTTTTTTTTTTTTTGGTACAGGACTTGCCAAAATAGTTGATTGATTAACACAACTTATATAGCTCTCAACTTGCCAACCCCACCCAAAAAAAAAACAAAAAGGAGTGCCTATGCCTTGATCGCTCCGCTTCTGCTTGCACGACAATGCAACTCACCCTTGGGCCCAAAAAAATATTAAAAAAAACACACACACACACACGGACGCACACAATATGACAATACGACTTCCAAGCAATCAAAAGAATTGATCAAATTAATGAGACTTTATCCGAGTGATAAGCAGTTTAATTTTATTTAAGGAAGATCTCAAATTCAAACTCTATATATGCAGAGAACCTTAGCTGGGAAACTTACCACCATAATCAGGTATGTGATGTGGGTCAGATTCGAATTAATCAGGACAAAGCTTTAAATATCGGGTGGATAACAAAAAAAAAAAAGATTATTTAAAGTATTACATCCATTATGAATTTTGTGACTTTTTAAAACGATTGTCTTTGCCTTTTTTTCTTTTGTAACATTTTACCTTTTAGATTGATGCTTCTTTCATTTTAAAAAATGAGACACTTTTACACAAATATATGTACATGCACGTGCATGCTTTTACAAAACTCATCAAATATATTTTATAATTTCATTTTTTAAAAACACAAATATAAATTTTTAAAAATGTTTTTTATTTAATATTATATTTGCAAAAAAAATTAAAAAGAGAATGTGATGAAAATTATAATATCAGAGCGTTTTAAATTTTGATACATTGAATCTCCTTAAAAAATATCTTATAACTGTGATAGGTATTTAATAGCATTTATCAGATTAGTGAGAATATATTTATAGGCATTTTAGTAAAATATCATTACATTTGAGAACTCTCATAATATTTAAACGTGGAAACATTGGGAAAATGAACATTTGAACCGACAAAAAAAAAACTAAACATTCTTTAAACTTAATTCTAAAATGAAAACCTTACATAGAAAAAGATAAACATTTTCTTGAATAAGACACGCGTGAGTGGGGAGGAGTTTTTGACGAAGATAGAAGTGAAAGTGGAAGTGGGATAAAAAGTGCATTTGGTACGCATGAAGATGAGATAAGAATTTTGTCTAATAAATGTATTTATATTATTAAAAGATCAAAACACCCTTAAAATTAAAAAAACAATTAAATCATGCCGCTATAGCTGTTAAAAAACCTAAAGAAATGGACAAGAGAGATCTTGTCGGAGTTGCTTTCCCATTGTGAGCAATACTACCAAGAAGACAAGATGCAACATTCAAGATCAAAACTACTCAAATGAAAATGCCATAGTAAAAAAAAAGAAGCATAACACATGAAAAAAAGAAAAAAGCCCCCCACTACCCACAAGATCACAAAACCATGGTTCCCACCTTTATCATCAGAGGCGCTTTGGTTATTTATACTAACCCGCAAATCAAAGGCAAAAATGGAAGATCTTCAATAAAAAATCAATAACTCCAAAAAAAAAAAAAAATCAACGAAGCAATTGTAGAGCTAATAACTTAAAAGCTGAAAGTTGTGCCATGGAAGCTAGATTTGAGTGTGGATTACTTCAACCATGGGAAGACCAACACTGATCTGATAAAGGTGGCAATTACTAAAATGAGGGAGCAATCATTGAGATAGACACACTCCATCAAATCCTCATTGTCACGTTCTCCATAGTGTCATCATCAGCAAACATTGTCCCTCGTGTTCTCTCCAGCCAATGCACCTTCCTTTGATGCGAAACCTAGCAACAATAAAATCCTTGATTTCATTCATGCATGGCAAAAAAAAATATATATATTCCAGAAATACATATCTATGAAAGAGGTAGGTTGAAGCTCAAACAGACACCATTTTCATTGACTAAGCAGATTGAAAGCGCCGTCATCACTTGCCACTACCTCTTCGCCATTGTGGTTGCGAGCCAACATCTCTGGTCAAGCATCGTCGCATTCTCCTTTTAGGCTTCCGTCAGTGAAAGTGAGGGAGAGAGATTAAGGGTAAAGAAGTCAGTTTCATGGGTCTATCCAAGGAACCCAATTCCATCAAATTTGATGGAAATTGCTTCTCCAAAGAACTCAATTCATGTAAACCAAACGCATAAGCTTATGGGTTTTACTTCCACTTTCATTTCTCTCCCTCCATCTCCTTGCTATCGAATGGGCCATAAGAGTCATGGGGTGCAATTTTTAACTGCTGAATCTGTTGAACTTGGTCGCTGGGCGAATAAAGGAACCACAACTTCCTAAAATTTTAATTTTTTTTAATATTATATAGATATTTTATGTTTTTAGCCCTTTATAGTTTACATGTTTTTTAATCTTAACTCTCACGCAGTTAAATTCTAACTGCCTTTGGTTGGTTGCCTCCTTGAATCAATGTTACAACAAACTACTCTTATTACGGAATATATTTGTAGGGCGATGAAGTGATATTAAACTATAATGCTAAAAAAAAAAAACCCTCAAAAAAATAGAGAAATTATTCTAGATGTGACTTGTTAAAATTTAAAAAAAATCACATGTAGGCCTCACAAAAGGCATTTCATTTTCAAGAGGTACTATAAAATACATAAAATACTCTCAAGTCATAAACCCTACATATCTACTACTCAACAAAGGGTATTTACAACTTATTATTGAACTCATACATAAGATTTTGTTTTCCTTTGCCCAGTTATAAAGCTCTTTGCCAAGTTGTAAACACATAAAATTTGACACTTGTGGGTATTTCATGCATTTCATAAGCCTTTTAATAATTAAATGTCTTCCGTAGGATTTATGTGTGATTTTCCCTTAAAATTTTACCAAAAAACATTAATTGTAAATTCATGCTGGGTTGCACATATATATAGAATAATGAATCTCATCTCATCCCAGGATACATTAGAAAGGAATCTGCCCGAAAACAAAAGTTGGAATGGAAGTTCATGAATCCCTAATGAAACTAGTTTAATTAACTATCCCTTCACATCTATTATGATGATGATTATGAAATCTTTAATTTTGTAAACTTATTTCAATTATTAATTTAATCTCTTAAATTTAAATGCAAATCTTCAAGGCAAATATATTGGGATTGAAAGGAGTAATTAAGTGCAAATTTTGATCGCTAATAAATTGACAAGGTATTGGAATTTGGGGGAGGCAACTAAGGCAGGACCCAGATCTTATTGTTTTCTAAACCTACGTGGCTCTTTGTGACTGGTAAATTCCAAAAGGTTGCGCGAGATATCGCCAAAGGTAACCCACAAGGGCATATAAGGAGATGTGATCCAAAATGGAAAATCGGAAAAACGAGAATATAATATGAGAAGCAGAGATAAAACCGAAAGACAGTAAAAGCGCATAAACCCTAGCTCGAAAATCTCGCGATAAATAAAAAAATTGCCTCGTCTGCAATCTCCGTTTATATCTCCGTCGAGAAGACCAATCTATCTCCCCTGTAAGCTCCAAATTTCTCGCTATCTCTTTCCTTCCTCAATCATCGCTCTTTATATTTTCTACTGCTACATGTGTGTGTGTGTGTGTGTATTATTTGCACGCCGTAGCATCCCTATTTCCAGTTTGTTTATTTAGGATAGCTTCCCCTGTTCGCTTCAGGGCGATTGATTGATTTTGATTCTTCTAGGCCAATGAAATGTACTTAAAATTCAGTGTTGATTGGAAGGTTGGAGAGACTGCGTGTGAAAAATGCGGGAGAGGGAATGGGAGACTTTGGTTTGTGAGGGGTAGAAGGGCGTGGTCTATTTTTATTGACGATAAGGCATTCAATTTTGAAGTAATCCAGATCGATAAATTCTCAAATGTTCTTATTAACAATCTAACAAAACAAAGATTATTTAATCCCTTCAAATCGTACAGTGGAGTGACGAGTCTAATCCTCAACCTATCGGGGACTGTTAGACGGTTTTCTCTTTCGCCGTAAAAATGGTTTTCGTCTTTAAATATTGCAATACGGCCAATGTGCTGAAGAAGTTCTTAAACCATCTCCTTGTCTTGCATGTTTGATTTTATCTCTGAAACTTACACATAGAATAGTTTGTTAGCCCGCCTAAACTAAGACACTAATCCAAATTGGTTATGATGGTTTTTTGGGAGGACTGTAACTCATTGCCTGTGCTAGCCATATCCACCAAGTCACCAATGAAATCAGAAAAATATATACTTGATTTATAATGCTGACTTAATTTTTTCTGTGGCACCTGAATGGCTACTAAATGCTTGAATGAACTTTCCCATCCTTTTTGTTTGCTCTGCTCCCTCTGTTTATCGTGATTCATGTTATACTTGTAATTAGACAAAATGTTTCTCACTCCCATATCTGGTTTGCTCCTTTGTATAGGCTGAATGGCTATTAGATGCTTGAATGATCTTTCCCATCCTTTTTGTTTGCTCTGCTTCCTCTGTTTATCGTGATTCATGTTATACTTCTAATTAGACAAAATGTTTCTCACTCCCATATCTGGTTTGCTCCTTTTGTTAGGCTGTCATTACTACCGCGGAAGAGTTGCTGCACGCCCAGTAAGTTAAAGCTTATTTTCCTATATATATATATATATATATATCTCCAGTAATGTCCCAGTGATTGCATCAACTTTTGGATTATTTTCTCTTATTCTCTTTCCAATAACTTATAGATAATGATTTTTTGTACTAACACCGTATGGGAAAACGACTTAATAGTGCCCAAGTGGTAGGATGTTTTGCTTATCTGCATTATAGTCGATCATTCACTTATATTTAACTATTTCGATTCTTTATTCTTTTTTTTTTTTTTTTGGGTAGGGACCTAAGATATCAATTCCTATATTTAAGTTTAACCGTTTTAAAAAAAATATATATATATATATATCTATATTTTTTTAGGTTGATTTTTTTTTCCTGTCACCTGTTCTATGTTTACTGTGTTACAGATAATCAAAAGAACACAACCAAACTTATTATATAATGTACTGACAGTATTTTGTTAATTGGTAGTGGTTCGAGAAAAAGATGTCTGTTGGGAATATGCTGATAAATTAGACGGAAACAAGGTAAGATGCAAATTTTGCCAAAGGGTTTTAAATGGAGGCATCAGTAGATTGAAACACCATCTATCTCGACTTCCAAGTAAAGGAGTAAATCCTTGTAGCAAGGTCAGAGACGATGTTACTGATAGGGTACGGGCAATTATTGCATCAAAAGAAGATGTCAAAGAAAACTCTAGTGTGAAAAAGCAGAAGCTGCCAGAAGTCAAGTCTCCAAGTCCTGTTTCTGCAACTAAAGCTCTTCTATCTATAGATGCAGCTTCCCCTGTAATGAAGGGCTTCCTTACAGTCAGTCCTATGACTCCTCCCTCTGTGAACCACCAAGAGAATGCAGAGAAAAGTATTGCTCTCTTCTTTTTTGAGAATAAGCTAGACTTCAGCGTTGCACGGTCTTCATCCTATCAAGTAATGATTGAAGCCATAGGGAAGTGTGGTCCGGGATTCACTGGTCCATCAGCAGAGATGCTGAAGACAACATGGTTGGAAAGGATAAAGTCAGAAGTTGCCCTACAGTCAAAAGATGTTGAGAAAGAGTGGACTACCACTGGTTGTACAATTATTGCAGACACATGGACCGACAATAAATCAAGAGCCTTAATTAATTTCTTAGTCTCGTCACCATCCAGGACGTTTTTCCACAAATCTGTGGATGCATCTGCATATTTTAAGAACACAAAATGCCTTGCTGAACTTTTTGACTCTGTTATTCAAGAGTTCGGCCCTGAAAATGTTGTGCAAATTATTATGGATAGCAATTTTAACTACACTGGCATTGCCAATCACATTGTCCAGAACTATGGAACTATATTTGTCTCTCCTTGTGCTTCCCAATGTTTAAACCTCATTTTGGAGGAATTCTCAAAGGTAGATTGGGTAAGCAGATGCGTTTTACAAGCACAGACCATATCAAAGTTTATATACAATAATGCATTGTTGCTTGATCTCATGAAGAAGTTCTCTGGGGGCCAGGAACTAATCAGGACCAGCATTACAAAATCAGTATCCACCTTCCTTTCATTACAGTCTATGCTGAAGCAAAAAACAAGATTGAAGCATATCTTCCACAGCCCTGAATATGCGTCAAACTCCTCATATGCAAATAAACCACAATGCCTATCTTGTATTGCAATTGCTGAAGATCTTGATTTCTGGAGGACTGTGGAAGAGTGTGTTGCTATCTCCGAGCCTTTTCTGAAAGTGTTGAGAGAAGTTTCTGAAGGAAAACCAACTGTAGGTTCCATATATGAACTAATGACGAGGGCAAAGGAGTCAATTAGGACATACTACATAATGGATGAGAACAAGTGCAAAACATTCTTAGATATTGTGGATAAAAAGTGGCGGGACCAACTCCATTCTCCTTTACATGCCGCCGCCGCCTTCTTGAACCCTGGTATTCAATATAATCCTGAAATAAAATTTCTTTCCTCTATAAAAGAAGACTTTTACAAGGTTTTGGAGAAACTGCTTCCTGTACCTGACATGAGGCGTGATATCACCAATCAAATCTATACCTTTACAAAGGCTCATGGGATGTTTGGATGTAGCCTCGCAAAGGAGGCACGAACAACAGTTTCACCATGTAAGTAAATTACGCTCTTGTCCACAGTGGCTTAGAGGCCCTATTTTGTCGCTGATTGTTTCAATGAGTAAATTTCATAAAATCTCCTTTGGCCAAAAACAAACAATCGTAAAATCTGAGGGACGGACTTCATCTTTAACCTTAAGATGTAGAAAGCAGACCATGCATCCTGGAGCATAGTTCACATCAAGGTTCCCCTAATTGTTACAAAAAACGTTGTTTGAGGTGTTATTTTATGCAGAATTTGATTATTATTTCCGAGTATCATGATAACCGGGAGTTGGTGTTCTTAGGTTTCAAGACTTCAAAGTGGTCCTTATTATTTTGTCCTCTGGGCTATTGATTCTTTATAGTGAATTTTTCAGAAACATTGTGGGCTTATTTTGCCCATGGGAAATTACAATTTCTGAAACTTGGTTTTGATCAGGGAAGCCACTAATCTAATTTCAACATGAACTGTATATTCCAGCAGGAGGGCGGAAGGTTTGGTTCATAAAATGACGAGGGGACGCATTTTAAGAAAATGGTTCACAACTAAGCTAGCTGTGGCCATATTTTTAAGCAGCGGCAGTTTCCCCTCCCGCAACATGCGCTTATTGCTTGGGGTCTTGGTCACTATTTCTTAGAGTAACAGCAACATGCAAATTGCTAATTGCATTCTATTTGTGGATGTTGTACCCTACTCTGATTCTCATGGAATGGCAAGATTGTTATGAAAATGCAGAGCTAGCTTGTAAATTTTTAGGTCTCTTATTCAGATTGTTTGATGGATACAATATAATTTTCTGTTTTCTTTCATGCTATTCCTTTACGTGCAAACCTGCTAATGCTACTGTATCGAGGGTTAGATAATCAACAATGTCATGTTGTATTTATTATTGCAGGGCTTTGGTGGGAACAATATGGTGACTCTGCCCCTGGGTTGCAACGAGTGGCCATTAGAATATTAAGTCAAGTCTGTAGCACCTTCTCTTTTCAGCGGCACTGGAGTACATTCCAGCAAATTCACTCTGAGAAACGAAATAAGATTGACAGAGAGACGTTGAATGACCTTGTCTATATAAATTACAATCTTAAGTTGGCTAGACAAATGAAAGCCAAGTCTTTAGAAGCTGATCCGCTTCAATTTGATGATATTGATATGACTTCGGAGTGGGTAGAGGAGAGTGAAAATGCAAGTCCGACTCAGTGGCTCGATCGTTTTGGCCCTGCCTTGGATGCGAGTGATCTGAATACCAGACAGTTTAGTTCTGCTATTTTTGGCGCAAATGATCCCATATTCGGATTGTAATTATGGGGCTCATTAATTGCTCACTCGGATCATGCGTTCTTTGTATATTGACATTAACATGTTAATGATGTAGTATATTGTATCAACCGCTAATTATGGCCAACAAGGCTGCTCCAACGTGTCGAGAACGACAGCAGCCAGCTGCCTCATGTAGTGGGTATCGAAGTTCGAATCTCCTAATTGTATATAGAACACAACTACTGTCAATTTATAGGAGGTAAATTTTAATATTAACATATCATCAAACCATCATGTATGTTTTTTTAAAGCCAAATTCATAATCCTATTGTATTATAAATAAGTTCTCACATTTCTTGAATTTAACATGTAACCTTGGGTTTTTAAACGTCAATTTCAGCTGAAGTTACAATAGTTCATTTGTTAAAAAATCTATCGTAAATATTTTTTGTATTTATTAATTTTCTTTTACAAAATTTGAAATTGCTTTTGAAACTAAAAGTATCCTTTGCCGAGTATGAAAGATAAAGGGCAAATTCTTTATATCTAAATTTATTTTATGCATAAAAAATTAAAAATTAGATTTCTAACCATTTAATTAATAGATAAGAGTCTGTCGTTTACGTCAACGTGATGAAAATAATAATTTTTCCAAAGTAAACAGAAATGAGAAAATTGATCCAACTTCTCTCGTAAATAGAAATATGTTAAAGAAATTATAAATTATATTAATCTAAAAAAATCGAAGAGATTTCACATGATTATTAAGAGGGTTTGTGTAAATTCTTCATGGATTGTCTAAGCATAGAAGTTACTACCCTGGTTTAGAAATATTTTATTATCTTAAAATATAAAATAATTTAATAAAAATTAAATTTTATTGATGACATTTTTTAATATTATATTATATTTATTTATTTTTGGTCAAAATATTATATTTTAAATGAGGAGAGAATTGAAATAATTAAAAGATAATGATTAAATATATAAATTGGACTCATGGTCGTGACAAATATATTAATAAAAAATTATGAAATGAGTTTTTAAAAATTTGGAAGTGTGGCCCATCTATAATAAGTTGGAGTTTGAATTTTTTTTCTTTTTTTTTTGAATAAATAAAAAAACTTGTGTAAGAGGACCAAATGATTATAATAATAGCCTATTTATAATCGTATACCACTTTAATATTTAAATACTCTTAAATACTTCATAATCAACTTAGAAGCCATAATATATTTTAGATTTGAGAATCAAAATGAAATTTTACATTTGAGAAGGGTGTTTTTATCATTTTAATTTAACATAAATATTAATCTAACCACAATGCAAAATATTTAAAATATTGAATTGTTATCTTTATTTAATTTTATTAAGTGAGTTATATGTGTAAAAGTCTCATTTAAAATCATATCAAATGAATAACATTTTTGAAGTTTATAATTTGAAAAATAAATTGTTTTTATTGAATTGCGTAATCATATTTCATATCTTCTTATATTCTGGGAGGAAAGTATTTGATCCAAAAAAAAAATAGTCATAGTATTTTCTCTAGTTCTATTTATGAAAGAGAGAGAAGAATTTTTTTAATTCTATTTATAAGTCACATCATTAAATTTTAATTATAAAATTTTTCTTTTACCTTTCATTGAATGTTGAAAAGAGAAAATACTCCCTTCGTCCCTGTATATAAAGTGTTTTTTAAAAACTTGTTTTATCCCTAAATATAAAGAATGACAATAATATTTTTAAATAATTAAATAATTTTACTTTTATTTTTAAAAAAATTAAATAAATCATTAATTATATATTTTTCATACTACTATCATGATATTAATTATGATATTATTAATAAAAAATTATTCTGTTTTTATGTGAGTTCAACTAAATAACAAACCTTTATTAGTAAGCGAGATTTTGTTAAAAACACTTTATATATGAGAATGGAGGGAGTATGTTATTAAAGTATGTATATTTAATAAAGATAAAATTAAAAAATTATTAAATAATAAGGTATAATTAATGAGTTTTAAGATTTTTTATAGTATTAAAAATAATTTATAAATAGCATCACAGCAGTAATTATTTGGCCGACGTGGCGTCCCTGGTTAACCGCTTCGACTTTCAAAGCTGGGGAAACCTCCTCCATCAGTCCATCGGAGATTTTTGGCGTTTTTTCAGAAGTTCTGGACTCCGACTTCAGGACCAGGCTCGGTCCACCGCCTCACAACGGACAATTCCCGATGCACCGTTCCGCCGCATCCCCGTCACGGGCGACCAACCAGATGCCCGGTCCGTCTGTGTACTCAAAGGTCGGTCTGCCCGGTCACGCTGCCGTTTCTCCCGTCGGCCGTCCGTCGTCGCATCACCATACTGCTACCCATTCCCCTTCTTGTATTTCTCTCCATCGATTTTGTCCAATCACCTTTTAAAATTCTACAATGACGAAATGAAAATTGTGAGAAAATGAAATCGGTAGTTCGGACAGGCTTCATTACGTGCTCGTGTAATTTAATTGGTTCAATAAAATAGTTTATTTTTCTAATTTATGAAAAAATCAACTAACTCATGTTCCGCCATGAAATTGATTTATTCAATACGTTTATCTCATTGATTTGCAGTAGAATTGGGCATTAAGGTTGCTGTCAAGCCAGAATATAAGATCACTTCTCCGGTAAATTTTGCCGTGCTTGTCTCCCTTATTCATTTGATCCGACATATATGGCATTCATAATATTATTTATTTTATTTTAATCTTGACTTGTCTCTATTCTTTTATCTCGAGAACTTGTGCGTGAATGCTTGTTAATCCCCATTTATGCCAGTTTAGTGAGTCATTCTTTCTTCCTTATGTTCATTAGGATCTTGTATTCTCCACAATCAATTTCATGATCTCTTATTCTCTATCTATATATTGGACGGTTTTCTTGAATTTCACTCATTTTAACCTGGCAAAAGCTGGGGTAAAAATGATAGTCCGTTTTTTTTTTTTTTTTGTTTCCTGGATGTTACAGTCTGCACCAGCCTTATACATCTATCAAGGCTGTTGCAGCCTAGCAGGACTGAGTTGAGCGAACCTTTTAGATGATGCCTTCGTTTTCTCGATTAACCTTTGCCTGGCATAATGACTTGATTTTGAGTTATCTTAAATCTCTTAGACAACTACGTGGCTTCTTCAATTGCTTTGTCAGTGATATGTAGGAATATTTCGGACTGATAGGAATTAGTGAGGTAGGGGAAAATAAGAGAGAAGAACAGTGAAGGTAAGTAGAAGCCGAGAGAAATGAGAGATATTGGGGAGAAGAGATGGAGAGGATTTTAGAAGTGTAAGGAATACTTTTTGATTGATCGCCGAGATAAAAATTACAATTCAAATGCCTTAGTATATATAGGCTTCACGCTCACACTGCCCCAACGGCTAAATCTCAACAACTGTCGTTTAAATCTGAACTAACTAATGTTTTACAAAACTATAACAGTCAGGATCTCTTAAGGCCAATGAATAGCTTTTTTTAAAAAAAAAAAAAATCTTTTGCACCTTTTCCTATTTGGGCGCAAAGTTGCAGATTCGCTCCTTTTTCTGCATTTTTTTAATTAAAAGTGACAAATCTTCATTTTCTTTTATTTCATAAATCTGGGTAGCTAGGCCTATGGGGTAGGTCTTGCAAAAACTATATTATTGTTTATGTACTTCTATTCGACCCAATACAGCTTGTTGGTATTTTACCTTTATCATTTAGATGTTTCTTAAATTTCTTATTTAGCTTGTCCCCCCCCCCCATGCATGGGAAAGTGCTCAAACTATGCGTAATTTACTTGGGGATATTTTGATCTTTTAGCATGACTTTTCAGTGCTTTCGTGAATTTTGTAGCCTCATTTATCACTGCATGCTGGAGATCTTCCATGGAGTAACTTCCAATTTGATTTTGTATCAGAAAGAAAAATTTTGGCTGAAGCTGAGAAGGATAGCCCAAATTGGAGCAGTTTTGGGGTCGAAAATTTTCCAACCTAAGGTGCTCATTCAGCATCACCAGTGGTATGTTCCAATTTTTACAATTGTTTACTTTGTTATTTTATGATAAACTTGCTTTTTCTGTATATTGATAAATATCTGGCTGATTTATCTTCAAAAATTCTTTGGTAATTATAATATATGAATGTAGCTTCCAAGGGTGTGAAATAAACAGTATTTTTCTTGCAGATTCCTGGTTCAACTCCCATTGTGAGCAAATATATTGCCTTGGGCCTGGGCTGAGAAGCTGTCCCCATTGCCGTTTCAAATTATGGTGATAATCCAACGAAGGCATGGGCTTGATCCCTGCATCTCTTTATGGATATGTTCAATGTTCAAACAGTAGCATGACTGAATGTTTCTGGAGAATGGTGCACGATAATTGGTAAACATCAATTATGAAATCTAATGGTTATCTTGAACGATAATTGGTAGACATCATTACTTTCTTCCCTTAATATTCTTAGTTGTAGACATAACATGACTCTGATGATAGTTCCTTTGAGACTAGAGCGTCTCCTTCTTAACATATAGTTAATCATATTACTCAAGTGAAATGTTTCAGTGTCGAGTCTGTAACTTTGGCATCAAGTTTTTTGAATTTCCTTTGGTAGTGGCCTAAAAATTCAATACACTACAACCTCAACCTTGCATTTGTCCTGTTTGATCTGATTATCTCCTGACTCCCTCCTCTGTGCTGAGGGCGATTATCTATGGTTAGCATGAAAACTAATAGCCAGTTTTGACGAAAGCTATCTGTGCTCAATAGATGTTATGCTTTTAGCCTGAATGGGTGGGGAACAGTGATTGTTGCCCATGTTCCAAGGAAGCCTTTCTAATGTTACGGACAGCTTTTTTTGGGGTATTTTTTGCATCTACTTATAGCTGTATTGCAGGAATAATCGCTGCCACTGGCACTACAAGCCTTTTTAGGGACCAAGAGGGTATTAGGAGCCCTGCTAGGTGAAATTCTTTTAGATACCCTGGATCTTAGTTTCGCTTTCAACTTCATCATTGTTGGACTTAATTTGAAATTTCTATATTCTGCATTTCTACATTGGCTGGAAGATGTCTAGCAGTCTTTGCTATTTAATTTGTTCTGCAAGCCTAATGAATGCTTTTTTCATTTGAACGTTCGGGAATTTGTGAATGGCTGCACCATTCTGCGTGAAATTTGGCTAAACTTAAAAAGTTATTCTCCCTACATGAAAAGGGAAAATATGTTCTTCCCAAAAATTAAAAAAAAGCTTTTGTTCACATTTATCAAAAGGAATTTCGGAAATATGCTTTGTAGTCTAAAAATCATAGCTTAAAATAAAATAGGAATGTCTAGACTTGAGATGCTCGACTATGTGCTCACATTCTTTTTTTTTTTTTGTTGGTCCCAAAAAGAAATTTATTAACAGAAAGAAACTCGAAACAAAGTAGGTTACATTCCGGATGCGAAAGAGCTTTGCTAGCCCTTGAAGGAACACTAACAAAGTCTAAAAACCAACGAAGTGAGGAGACTATGCCTAGTATAGTGCTTGAAAACCAAAAGGCGACCCGTCAACACAGCATACTATTTAATTATAATACTTAATGAAAATTGGGAGGTTCTTCAACCATCAACGAATGAAAGAACAATGGAAACCAACCCCCCGAGGAAAGCTGAGCTTCTATAACAGCACTGTATTGCAAACCTTAAGGTCATGTTTGTTTACTCGAATGGAATGGAATGGAATGAATTGAAAAAATCAATATAAAAATGAACTAAATCATGTTTTTCTTTATAATAAGTACGATAAAGTTCATTAATATATGTTACAAATGTGAAAATCATTACACCCTCTAAAAATTTTATGAGCTATGATTCCCAACCTCATGAATTAAATTACCACTTTCTCTCATGAATGTACTTACCTATTCCCCTTAATCATTTTATTTTTATCTTTATTTTTTCAATTCACTTCATTCCGTTATATTTTAGCAAGCAAACCTAACCTAAGTCATCAATGCCTGCTGAACTTGTAACTCAACAATCCGCTAAGTAAGTTCAGTTCGTAACATAAACTATTTTGTCAGACGGATCTGAGGAATATCAAAACTCCATGGGGACAACCAATCAATTCAGACACCCGCACATATTGCTCCTGAAAGACGAATATGTTGCACCCAGAGAATTCAGTAAGTGATTCTTAAATATTCAGTTACACCATCAATTTCATGAGCTCAAATTTGGAGACCAAGTGAGAGAGAACCTGATGACCAAGATGAGCAACAAAACTTCCCCTCATCAACATGCTTCACATCAAGCCCAAGAAACCAGGATCCAGCACTGACATCATCATGGGCGTAGGTACGAAGAATTGATCTGCCAATTCAAGAAACAGATTCAAGCTTGCGTTGTAAAAGCAGTAACTGATACCACTGATGCAGCAAAGAAGAATGCATCTGACCTGTTAATTAATATGAATTTAGCCAAAGCACGAGATATGACATACATCTCTCCTGATGCATGGCGAAAATATCTGTTGGCCAGAAATTTAAGGATCAATTTGAGTTAGTAAATGGACGGAATTAAGTTCTTTGCAAAACTCTGTGTCCATCAATTAGTCTAGAGTAGAGGACTAAAATAAAATCACGGGTGATTCAACTTACGATTTTTTGTCCCCAAATTTCCACCATTCCGGTTCATACCATTTGTGATTCCTGCATGATTAACGGGCAGTGATAAGAGAGCCATAGAATGTTATAATCATAATTGCACAACCTTTTAAACAGCAAGATTCACAAGGGTCTCACGGTTCAGAGAATACTTCGCCCGACTTCATACACCCTATGTAAACACGAGGTTTGTCTAAATGAGTTGCAAGTGTAGCTCCCAATGCATCTGTCGGGGAAGAAACGAGTAAGCTACTAAGTTACATGACATATAGACATCCGCAAGGGGTGAAAATAGTGGTGAGACAACCCAGGATTTTGCCTAATTAGTGCAAAGCAGACAAAAAAATATTTTCACATGGCCAAAGAGAAAAAAAAAAGGATATAACTGATTATTCCTTCTGGAAAGATCAAAATGAAGGAGTAGCACAGGGATCATGAAGCAGTTAAATCGTGAAATTGATCCTTTTTGGTTTTCCCGTTAATTTTGGTTTGGGTGGCCTTCCTGTTCGTCCCTTTGTTAGAGGTGTACCTAAGACACTTCATTAATATGCATTTTTGTGTGAGGTTCTTCCAGTGATAATTATGCAAGAACAGGTTAATAAAAAAGCATGGTAAAATAACCCCCAATTAAATGTAAGGCATATGGCGTATGATAAAACAAGAGGTGGGAATTGAAACAGGATTTTGCTTCTTGAATCCACATCCACAAAGATACTAGTTCAATGAATGACATGAAGGATCTTTTCTTGGAGAGAGTTTAACTTGGGGCCACAAGAGAACAATACTTCTTGCAACACATAGTTCAAGTTAATGGCTAGTAATTAAATGTAAGAGATGATGCTATAAAAACAGTACAACCTAACCCCTGAAGGAGAAACCAAATAGTTTTGATGAGGCTTTGCCACGTTAGAGTCAATTGACCTAATGTATAGAATGATTTGGCCATGGCGTTCTCTAATTAGGAGAGTGCATTCTAAATATCTACCGTGAAAATACCCAAAATAATCACAAATCTTAAGCTAAAACAAGAAAACAACAGAAAATTAGCATTAGACTGATTACTACTAAAAAAAAAAAAAAAAACTGACCAATATTTACATAAACATCGTCATTGACTTTAGCATAAAACTCAGCTTCCCATTTATCTGCAGCAAGAGCAAAGAACAACTTAGCCTTCTTCGGGAGCTCCTCATTAGCCTCCACATGGTTATCCTGCAAACATGGGTGTTACAGATTATTAACTCGCTTGCTTATGCTGCTGAAAGTTATGTTCTTCTCACAAGAAGCAATGGCGTATAAAATAGACGTTATTAGCCCTAAGCAGCCTATGCAATTGCCACTGCCAAAGTATTCTATCATGTCTGGTATCTACCTGAATATTCTCTAAAGTCACCATAAAGCACAATTTTGAGAAGCAAAGCTATTAGTGATAAAAAACAATCTTAGGCTCGACACATCTTAAGATTGGCTTGAGATTGAAATATTGACTTTCATGCGTTAATCCAAAAAGATTGATCTTAACCTAATGGCTAATTCGAACAGAAGTATAAGAAGAACAGAATGCTCAGATCAACAATTAATTGCAAAAACACAATAATGGCTAAAATAAAGGTTTTTCTAAAGCTGTTTGCTCTACCTTGACTGGCACAACTAGTGAATAACATGCTTGTAATAGCATTCTTCGGTGAAATAAAGATTTTGCATGCTCGTCTGCATTATTGAATTATCTAAAAGTTGTGCTCGTGAATATCAAATCTCTTATTGTGAAAAGGATAAATTCATTAGGACATTAGGAAAAAAATATTTTATTTATAGAGAACTGTATCCCCCAAGTTTCATTGCGTTTCTAATATAGAATAACAGTGCAAAGTATAAACTAAAGTAAAATTTTTGAAATATATTATACATACAAGGATCATGAAATCATTAGTCTGTCTATTTTCACGATCAATGTCTCTATCCAGTTGGTCGCCGCGATTAGCACTGGAGAGTTGCAAAATTTCATAAGGTTTCCAGTTGAACCACAAAAATAAAGAAATTAGTTTGAAAGTATTTGAACCTTCTTCCAATAACAAATCGTGCAACGATGCCCTTATTATCCTCCATTTTCTTCAAAGCTGCACCTGCAAAGGCAATGCTCTAAAATATAAATCTCTTTGACCTAAAGTTTTAGTGTGGCAGGCTGTAGTCTCAACATAAGAAATCTTTAAATAAACACTCTGAATTGTACTAAAAGTTACATAATTTACAGACCATCAAAATAATTATGAATAGAATAAAAGGTGAAAAGCACAAGCCACTATAACTTATAAAACAGAGTGGTAGAATCTTCACATGGGTCATAATAATAAGATAAATGATTTTTCTCTGTAGTGTCAAGAGAACAATATATGAAATCACACCATAATATAACCTAAAAAAAAAAAGATAAGGTAAAGAAAAGCATCAAAATTCATGAAAATGATGCACAGCATACATCCTAGTCCCTTGATTTGAACAGTCAGTACATATATGCAAAGTGCAATAACAAGGGTATACATATATAATGAAAAAATTGTGTTTGCTCTATAAAGCAATATTTCCAAAGACTGAGGAGTACTCAGGCACAATACCATATTGTGCCCTGAATTCTCATAGCAGATTGTGCCCTGAATTCTCATAGCAGTACATGATAAAACAGCAACTTAGTTTCAAAATTCATGCTTTATGATGTTACTTCAGTTCATTACACAGCCTCACATCTGAAACTAGTTTCTTCATTTTGGAGAGAGATGTAGGATTGTAGACAACTAGGGTTAGGTTCAGACTACATTATTAGATATACTCATTCCAGAGTTGTTCAAAAGGATGTCACCAATTTAAAACAAGAAGCAAGAAAGAGCATAGATAACCATCAGACCGGAGGAGTAATATTCTACCTGTTCCCATCCATGCCTTACGGATTGCATCTCTATTGTTCTGCCGGCCAAACCTTGTGATTATGCCAATCACTAGCAAGGGCCCTCTCCTAGAGTAAGTCCCATTAGTCTCAGTCAAATGCTTTGAAGCGAAGCCTTCTTGTCTAGCTGCAGCAAGTTCCATTTCAAGGGAATCAAGCTTCTTATGTTGCTCCCTAGCAATCATATGATTTCAAATCAAGATGATGGAAAATTTTGAAAAACTTAAGAAAATCAACAGAGATCATTACCCAAACCAAATGGCAATCGAGAATGCTTTTTCAAAATTAACTTACCTGCAGGCTATGATTTTCAATGTATCATCCACGGATATAGCAGATTGCCCCTAGAATGAAAACCCTGTGGTTAACTTAGCCAGAAATAGAGGTTCCTATCCAAAGAAAATTTCAAAAACCGTACAGTTGAATAACTACAAAATGAGAGTCCTTAATGTGCCCATAATCATATAATCTTCTAGCTCTAGATAATATCAAGCCTTAAATACATGCAGGTTCGGTTATCTAAATGCATCCTCGTGTCATAAAATTATGCCTGTCACTCATGGGAACACATCGGCAACAACCTTTGGCTGTTTTATTACATTGCTTTGCAACTATGATAAATTCCCCACATTGGAATTTGTCTGCGTTGAAATCCAAAGAATCGAAATTATTACAAAACGAGCAATCTACAACGAATTGTCAGAGTTAGGAATCGCACTATCACTTATATCTCCCATTAAAAAGCAAGCAAGCGCGCCACAGAGAGAGAGAGAGAGAGAGAGAGAGAGAGAGTATTATCACTAAATCCGTTAGCGATGATTCATGAAGCCCAAAATGCGCTAGAAACAAAACGTATACATCATCAACCATACAGATAAGGGTAGAAGCATAGTCACCTGCCCAGTTATCCTGTCAAGTTCTCTAATCAGATACACCCTGTTCTCTGCGTCCTGCCATAGCCTGTTTCCATCAGCGCAGGAGGGGAAAACAAGGCAAAAATGGAAGTACGAAGGAAAAAAATTAGAATTTCCTTAAAACGATAGCATAAGAACTGCGGAAAGAGAAGAGTAGGAAAAAGAACCTTCCAGCGACGTAGATAGAAGCAAAAATAGCGAACATGGAGATCAGAAGAGTTGGCATCCGGGACCGATAGGCCATGGTGGAAAGCCTAGAGCTCGATCCCTTGCTCTGCATTTAAGTCCGATATGCCTCCAAGCTGTGAAACAGATCCAAATCTTTCAAATTGATTCAATTTTGGTAAAGAGGAGGGGCGGGTGAGATGCAAGAGAGAGAGAAGACTTACTGGAGGGTGCAACCAAGCGGGACCTGCCGTTGATGTTTGGCTTTCCGAGCTGGTGACCACGATCACGTATTTATTTAAAAGATGCTTCGCAATTTTCTTACAATTTTTTTTTTTCTATGAACTGAAAATTTTAGTGCGCCCAGGGTCAATTATGCTAAAAAAAAAAATTTTATAAAAATACTTCTAAATTAGCTATTAGTAGAGTTTTCACATACTCTCTTCCATAAAAAATATAAAATTAAATCTTATTTCTTAATAAAATAATTATCTATTTTTTAACTAACATTATCTTTTCATATTTATCTTTATTAAATACTCTAAAATAAATATAAAATTATTATCAATAAAGATATTTTTGATAAAAAAGCAATTATTATACTTTGAAAGAATAAAAATACCTTATATTTTTTAACATACAACTCGTTTTATAATTTTAAATGAAAAAATATTCGATCTTATAATTTTAGAATTATGCATTAAATTCTTTTCAACTAGATATTTTTTATTAGTTTTTTCTTATATTTTTTATGGGCAAATAATACTAATAACTATTGTTATACGAGCCATATGAATTAAAAGGGACAATGAACATGAAATAAATAAGTTTCTTTGAATGTGGTGACCGAGACCGAATTATTTTAGGATGGTACGAAAATAAATGATTTTTTCTAATTTTTCACCGCACGATGAAGACGGATAGATGAATCAAGAGTGAATGAAAACTTCGAAAATTTTCAACTTCGTCTTTTTGTCTAACCTGTCGTTTATTTATTTATTTGGAAAAAACCCCTGCTTTGTTTATTAGATAGCGCGCATGGAAAAGGAACGTAAGCTTTATAAATAAAATAATTTTCCATAAATGTCCTTTCATTTCTTTGCATTAGCACTTTGTTCTGTATTGAGCACCTTACATTCTTCCTCAGATATTAATTACATGCAAGATTCTCTTCATTTAAATTAAAAAATACGTGATGTTCACCATAGAAAATAAAAATACGTGACGCTCTTGATAAAATGTAATCCGGATAAGGACAGCAGTAGTAATAATAATTTAAATATGCGTCAAAATCTGCGACTTGCCATGATAATTGTTACAGTCTTTGGTTTCAGCCGCATTGACTTCTCTCACAATAACTAAATAATACTTCCTCCCTTTTAAATTATAAAATATTTTTAAATAAAATTTTATATACAAATAAATTTTATTAAATACACTTAATAATTTTATCCTCTAAAAAAAATATAAACTTCTAAAAATATTCATAATTTAATATATTGAAAAAGAAAAGGAATGAAAATTAATTGTATAAAGAGAAAGGATAATATTAAAATTAGTACATGAATGAAACATTAATCCATTTAAAGTATTTTATATTTTGAGATTAATTTTTTTAAAAAATATCATATAATTTGAGGCGAAAAGAGTACAATATGCGCATACTACATGCATGTGTTTCAGCATCGCTTAGTTGGATTTTAATTAAATAATAAATTTTTATTGATATGCATAACTTGATAATACTTTATATATAAAAGACAGAAAGAGTATAATGCAATGAGATTACTAATGCCATGTGAATATGATAGAACATTAATATAGTGTACAAGAGTAAAAAAAAAAAAAAGAATGCAAATGATTTATGTTCTCGTGATGCGGAGGCTTGGTTTGAAGTTGTCAATGTAAAAGAGCTATGAGCTGAAGTTGTTAACGTAAAAGAGCTGCGAGCAAAATAATGAATGAGATATGGGCACGGTGCTTGCATGTGTTTTAGGATAGATAGAGTCTAATATTGCTGGAGATTAGGAAGGTGCGACTTCCTTTCTAATGGAGAATCATATTGTCCTCCCTTGCCCTCACAGCGTGGGGGTGGAGCCCACCTTATGTAATGGATTCCAAACCTTATATTATCAGTGCAGATAGAGCTGAAATACGAGCGAACTCGGCCCTTAAAGGTCTAAGTCTTAAAGTCCGGTTCCTATTTTAAACCTTATTTTTCAAGCACGGCCTTTATATGAAGGGCTCAGGGCCAGGCTCGTAAGTCTTTTTTCAAGAAAATAAAAAAAATAAAAATAAACTTAAACATTATAAATTAATTAACATATTTTGAAATTTAAAAAATAAAATTCTCATAATTTTTTAAAATTAAACAACACACATTTAGAAGTTTGTAATAAAATTTAAATCTTAGTTAAAAAATAATTCATTTTTTATAAATACACAAACATAATAATTATGGAAAAATAAAAAAATATCAAGAATTTTATACTATACACTGATATTTATTAAATTATATTAAATCAATTTGAGAAGAAATTAAAATTAATAATAATATAATGTGTGTAGGATCAGGTGAGCAGGTCATTAGCTTCAAACACGTGTTTCACCAAAGAAAATAATAATAATAATAATATAACAGAGTTTAAAGGGCTACCTGAGCCTGAGCCCTTTTTTACAGAGTTTATCAGGACCAAGCTCTTAAACTCGATTACTTTAAAAAATTTATTTTAAAAACCTGAATCTTTATTTAAACAGGGCCTCTAAGCCCGGCCCTTCAAACCTGACCTTTATTTTCGACTTTAAGTGTAGGAGGGACCAGGACAATTCTCACCAAGAGAGAGCCTCCTCCATATTAGGGAGAGAAATCATTGCACTCTCTCATCCCTCTCACACGTATATAAAAATTATTTTTAATTATGTCACTAAAAGTGGAAAAATAAGAAATAGACGAGTCATTGATATTGTTTTTTTAAAAAAAATAACACAATTGGAATTGAATTTCCCCCCCCCCCAAAAACAGAGAACTTACCACGATTACAAAAACGCTTACGCTTTATTAAAACCAGAAGCCCAATTTGGTCAAATCCAACAGAATATTGGTGGCACAAGCCCATCTTTGTTAAATCCAACCATATCTCATCTCACAGTTGGGAGCTGGTCCGGTGGCCCCCCCTGTTTGTACACTTCAAAAGTGTCATTCACAATTTCACATGTCTATCCCATTGAGGGTAAAAATAGACTAAACTCTTATTAAGAGCTCATGGCTTGACATGCTTTAAGCCTAGGTTATTGTATTTATTAAATAGGTATCAGCTAGATCAATGCCTTTGATTAGACCTATTTTGATAAGGTCTAGTTTGCAAATCTAACATAGTAGCCTATTTACATATATATTATTATGTAATATATTACATACACATCAATTTTATCATTTAATTTTCAATCAATATATTGATTTTGATGTTATTATTTTATTGTTGTGTTATAGTTGGTAATTTATCTTGATTATCATGTATTGGAATTTGATAAATCGTGTTATATAAATATAAATCTTAATAATCCTAAAACATATTTAAGACATTTAAAATTAATATGTAAGATTATTTAAAAGATTTATTTTTAAGTATGTTTTCAAATAAGCTTCTAGGCTAGGTTGAGCTTTAGATTGTCTTAAGCTTGAACTGTGGGGAAAAAAAAAACTTTTATATACACTTCAAGCTAAGCTCATGTTTTTGATCTACCATACAAGGTTATACTTATTTATTAGCCAAAACCTAACTTATCTTAGCTTATTTACATCCCTGGTCATATAGTCCACATCTTTGAGAAATAATGTGCCCCTCTTCTCCCTGCTCCTATATGCTCATTGGTCCTTAATACGAGATCACTTATAAAATTTAATGAATATTTTTGCCTCGTTTAAAAAAATATTCTCATCTCTTTTTGTTCATCCCCCCTCTCCAGTTATAATAAATTATATTAATCAAAGAGTATTTTGAAAAAAGTGCAAAAATTTTAAAATTGTGACACCTAGTTATTTCTAACCAATACTTTTAATTTCATGAAAGTGGCTAATTACTATAATATTGTAAATAGGAGGGGAGGGAGTATTGCATTAGATAAATTGGCATTTTGTCTTTGTACTCCAAAGATTGGGTTTTTCAACCACCTTTCCATTTGAATACCATCCTAGCTATCGATGGTTATTTTTTTGGATAAACGATGAAAAGAAAAAAAAAGAGGATGGCTGCTCCATAAAATAAGAGAACGAAAAAGGAAGAAACTGTGTGTGGGGAAAGTGAAGGCTACGTAACGCCAGAGCTTGTTTTGCAAGATAATTAACTCTCACGTTTTCCTCTCTTTTTGAACACAGCCGAGCTCAACAATCTAATTACGATAGCACAGTGCGGCAACCAAGAATTAAGTTACAGCTATCACGAACATCATTGTTATGTCATTGATTAGATTATAATTAATGGCCTCCATATGGTCACTTCTCAGCCAAACCATTTAATGTCCCATGCTCATCGAAGCTCAATAATACGGGCCCAAAATTCTAGCAACAAGGTCAATGGATCTTCAAAAAGTTTCAGCATAGAAGCTTCCAGCTGAGATTGATCAATGATTATCCTACGATACCCCACAGCTCATACTGGCACTAAGGTGAGAATAAGCTCAGTCGACATGCACCATAGTCCAACCTTTCAGTACTATAGGAGGAGAATAAGCTCTGATGCTATGAGTTCTTTGTTTTTGAATTTTTGGTTTTGGTTTTCCGTTGCTTTATTGCTCTTGTGCCCGTTGGATATTCTGGATTATTAATGATTTTTTTTGGCAAAAAAAATTAATCAAGGATTGGTGAAGGAAATTTATATCAATCAAAGATTACTTATTATTAAAACTCGAATAAATGCTTGTCAATTTAGGTTAATCTTTTATTAATAAGTATCATTCAAATTTTAACGACAACTTATTATAAATTAACTGCAGTTCATTCAAACTTTTTTCATTCAAAATTTGATAATAATTAATTTTTAATTAATATAAATTTTATCCAACGATCTTTCATCACTATCCCCCCACCAACAAAAAAAAAGACTCGCCCAGCTATAGACGCAAAAAATATGATAATATGCACAGTACTGTTATTTATGCAGTGGTTATCAATCGTCAATTCTATTGTGTGTTGCTACGCTCGTAGACATTAGTAGAAAAAAATGAAATTAGTGATGGATAAATCAGTAACTAATTTTAGATTTACTAAAAATATCCATCACTGATTAATAATTAATCAGCTTCTGTGACTAATTTATTTTATAATTAAATTTTT